AGAATTTGCACCCTAGGCCAGGTTACAAGTGAGGACAAAGTTGACTCTTGGTTCTCACTTGCTCATGACGCAGCAGCCCGTAAATCAGTGTGAGTGACAGCCTTAGCTCAGCTGAGGTGGAAGGGAAGGGAGGAGAGCGGGTCAGGGCAGGGGGCAGCTCTGGGCTGTGTGAGCAGCTGGCCCCGAGCAGGCTCAGGAAGAGCAGATTCCCAGCAGGAATTGCAGCTGGAGTGGCGAGTCAGGGGCAGCCGGAGCTGGCAGGGTGAGGTGGAAGGAGACTGGCAGAATAGCTGCTGCTCACCTCGGGCTGATGCTGTCAGGGCTGGGTGTTTGCAACAGCTCTTTTCACTCATCGCTTTTGGAAAAGCATCGAGCGGGCTCCTGTACCTACAGCTGTGGGGGCTGGAAACGAGAATGTGTCAAAGGGCCAGCCAAGGCTCTGCTGTCCCCAGCTGTCCTGGGCTGCCACCCTGCCTTTGCCATGAATTGTCACAGCTTTGGGGTACTGCAGGCAGCAGACCTCATGACAGAGCATTGATAATATCTCATTTCAGAAGCTGGGGGAGGTCGGGATGTGTTAAGGCTGAAAATATTTACAGGTTTTGAAGTTGAAACACAAACAGGAAAAGCCCTTTAAAAAGTGAGTGTAGTGGATATTCAAAACAGGAATTGCCATGGAAACGCCACAATATTTGCTTAAATTGACACAAAGGTTGCTGGTTGCAGGGTTCTGACTTCTTTGGCTCCATTTTCTTTGGCCAGACACCTATCACAAGTTGATCTCAACAGCCCTCTTTTGTTTTGCTTCTTTTATTATTGTCTGATGGAAATTTAAAAAAACTCCCAACAACAGAACCCTCCAGTCTACAAATCCCACCTCATAGAAGAGCCTGAAGCTTCTGAGCTTCTGACAAAGGTTGGAGCTAAGACATTTTATAATTTTGGAAGTAAGGTAAAAGTTCTTTTATTTTAATCTGTGCATTTGTTCATTTCCTTCAATGCAGGAGTAGAAGGGAATTGTCTTAACTGTCTAGGGAGAGCAAGGAGAAGGGTGAAACCTGTTGCAAAGGTAGCAGTATAACAGCCAGGGAGCACAGGACTTTTGCAGTCCAGCTCTTAAACCAAAATTTGAGAGATTTAGCTGCAGTTCCCAGTTCTGCCTCAGATTTACCGAGTGAGCTTTGACAAGTCCCTTAATTACTGTGGGCCTCGCTAAACTGCAAATAATAATTCTCCTTTGTCTCATCTGGTTGTATGTGTAACATTTTTGGGCATGAGATTTGGTGTGGGGGTGGACAAGGAGTTTGTGCTGGTGGATCCCCCCCCAGAGGAGGGATGGCAGCACAGCTGACGTGGGCAGCAAGGCTGAACGGGCTACAGGTGGAAGTGCTTTGCTGTAAGTGGCTTAGTGCCACAGGCTGCTTCTGCCACTGGCTGACCTGGTTTTTTCCTGGGGAAAGTTGGAGCGTGTGGCCCAGCCAATAGTCCGGGTGGTTTGTACCTTGGCTTTGGAGTTGCCAGCTCCACGCGTGGCAGGCAAGGAGGTGGAGATGCAGCGTGTTCAGGAGGGCATGGAGAGCCTTGCCTGGCTGCCCTGCTGTGTGTGACCAAGGGCTCAGGGCTGTGGGTGGCTGCAGCGTTTGAGGCTGGCGTCACTGCTTGTGCTCGTGATTCACCCGAGCTTTGGTACTGCTCACTAGGGAATATTCATTTCCTTTTGAAACTCTCCTCAGGGAAAAGAGACTTCACCAAGTGAAGGGAGGCCATCTAATTCACACTGTCTTCACCTGAGACCACCTCCAAAACAAAGAACCTGACTTCTGTCCTGGCTTTGTACACTGGAATGGACCTTCAAGCCTGTGACTTCTCAATGCAAGGTACTAGCTTTTGTTCTGTGGTCAAACCGCTCTGAAGTAGGACTGGAGTGAGTGATTTTGGCTCTCCAGAGTTTTCATTCCAGTTCCTGGGAAATCTCTAGCCTGTGAAGTTTGAAAGAGCAGTGAGTGGGAAGTCAGTGGCTTAGGTGGTGAATGCATGGTGGGATGTTGGTTTGGGCTGGCTTACACGTAGGACTGGGTTTAGCCATCAGTGCCCACCTCTGTACAGACACCCAGCTGACACAGCTGGTTTGAGCAGCTCTTTCTCCTCACCTCCCTCTTCCTAATGAGCTGCTGTGCAGCATTAGCAGTTGGCTCAGGAGTACGCACGGGAGTCCCCCGGGTAAGTGTTGTGTGGGACAGTTTCTGATTGACTTGTTCCACAAAAGGAGTTTGAGGATGTCTGTGGTCACGGTGGGTAACTCAGAGCAGACGTGAGGGGGTGGGACTCTGTTTCTAAAAGTTGTTTTACTTTCTTCTCTGCTTGGCTGCCATCACAGCTTCTCTGCAAAGAAAGGTATGACACAACAGTGGGATAATGTATTTCTTCTCAGTGGGCTGGGGATTTGGGAGGTGTCTGGTGACACTGCTGCAGGATAAGGGGCTGAGGATCCTCACTGTGTCTGGCCTTTTTGTGACAGCACATGTGCTCTGTAGGGCACAGAGGTATTGTCAGGGGCTATCTCCATACTTTGCTGACATCATTAAATGCTGATGATGCCTGAATGAATGAAGATCAGCAGCTGAAGTGCCTGAGGGGATTCTGTATCATCATCTTCCTCTATTTTTTGCCGCCGTGTCATCAGCGATACCTGGGCACAGCAGTGTGTGCAGAGCTGTTGTGAGCCATGGGTGCAGCTGGGACCTGAGCTGGAAGGGTCCAGGTAGAGAGGTAGGGGGACTGCGTTGGTTGAGCAAGAGGGGAGATGAGAATAGTCACAGGGCTCAGATGTCGGTCTGGGCCTCCAGCACTCCCTCTCCATTGCTGGCTGTGTGTGGCACAGAGGAATTTACTCTGGTTCTAAGTGCCCTAGCCCCACCTGAAAGAGCAACAGCCATGATACTCTTAGGCTCAGTAGGTCGTAGTTCAGAGCCTACAGAGCTGAGTGCTTTCAGTAAGTCTGCCAGAAAAGAGCGTGCTTCAGGATGGGATAGGGGTGAGCTGTGCCTTCCCACACCTTCCTAGTTCTGAAACACCTCCGGGGTCTGGCATGCTTTATTTGGAAAGCCTGGTTTTGAACTGTTAATGTAGCAAACTCTGGCCTTCATCCCTGTGTGAGCTGCTCTGGTGCTTGTGTCCCCTTTTAGAGCAATGCCTTCCCAGGCCTCCAGAGGCAAGAGAGCTTCCCAAATAGGAGCTCTGCCTGAGGGAATAAGGTAAAGGAACATGAAGAGCCTTGAGGTTCTACCAAATAAGACACAAATTCTGAGGTTTGACTGCAGCGGGTGAATTTTCCACCAAACACCCTTATGTGCCTCTCCAGAGAGGTCCAACATCCTGGGGGAAATAAACTGTGCTGAGGAAGCTGCCTCATAGGTTCCAGGTGATTTTTTTCATCACCAAGGAGCTTTTCCTGTGACCCCAGTCACAGGTTTCTGCTTGTGCAGCTCCTGATATTGAAAACCCTGTGTTGTCCATCTGATCTGGACCTGGGATGAGCAGAACCTCTGAGACAATAAAGTAAGAGAAGGAGACTGATGCGTCAGGAATTCTTTAAATGCTGAAGTGATCCTTGTGGTTCAGGCTCTTGCAAATCAGTTATGCTTTTCCACATTTGTCTCCTCCCAGCATCTACTGGGTGCATTGCTGAGTGTCCCTCAGGGGCTGCTTCCTGAGGGATGGGAGCTCATTAGTGACAACAGAAATATTTCCCTGGACTCCAGCTGTTTTCTGAGGTCCCCGTAGTTCTACAAACATCACTGCAGTGAAGAAGATGCATTTAGCCTTTCAGGCATGTGGCTTTGTGATCTCTCATGCTCTGGACTAGAAATCCCTGTGTTCCAGTCTTCTGCCCTAGAGCAAGTTGTATGGCTTCTACTTTCAAAACAAGCTCAATTTACTTTGGGCTACAGAGGCTGTTTGCACGTTCTCCAGAGCCCAACCCTAGGCTGTGATTGCTTTTTCACTGTTTATAAGCACAAGCTGACTGTTTAGTCCTAGAGCTATAAGGGTTGGAGGGAGTTTTCGTGTTCAGTTAATGAAGGTAGACTTTTATGCGGGGGGAGGGAAGCTAAAAAAAAGTGTAGGAAAGGGATTAGAAATATCTGCTCTGTCTGTTTGAATTTGTAAAATATCCCCCCTCCCCAATTTAAATCCTAAAGTAAAGCTAAATTTGTGGGTTAGCTTGGACTGATAGAGTTATTTTTGCTAGGATCTTTGGGATTGCTGCAAAGGGGATGAGATGGGAACACTGCCTTCCACAGAAGTGCAGCTGGGCCAGCCCAACCAGCCCTGATGGCTCAGATCCTGGGCTGGGGAATATGAAACAGCCTTGCAAAATCATTGTGGAAATTTACCCACCTGTGTATGAAATCGACCTGCCTACCTTTGCCAGGAGGAGTTTAACTTGCCCATTAAAATACACATCTATTTATGTATTACATGTTCTGTGAGAGAAGTTTTTCCCAGGCAGTTACAAAACTCCGTCTAGACTGTAAAGTGTGGCATCTGGTGGTAACATGCCATATACATATATCTGAATACAGTATCTCCTGTATTGCTTGGGAGTTAATAGCACGTATCTTACAGCGAGGCCTTTCCGTTTGCAGCGCCCTATCCTTGGATCAGCGCTTGGCCTGGTTCCTGCCAGCCCTGAATGGGGTTCTGCCCTGCTCGCCTCCATCCAGGGACAGCCAGGCAGGCATTTCCAGGCTGCTTGTCCTGACCTGTGGCCCCACGGCTCAGGTAGGCTGCAGGCAGCCGTTCCCAGGCACAGCTCCTCGGGCAGGGCTGAGCTGAGGGGAGGGAAGATGTTAAAAGCCTGTCTGGGTAAGAACAGGGTTGTCACATCCATCTGCTCAGGCCCTGACGAGCAGCTGATCCATATTGTTAACATATTGCCTGCCATATGGGCTAGCTCAGCTCTTCAGGAACGCTTGGGAGACCTGACCTCTAGTGTGACAAGATGTGAGCATGAAGGACGGGTTGACAACAGCCCTTGGGTCCTGGAGTGTGAAACCATGTTTCAGCCACTTCCGCTGCCTTCCCCTGCGCTTACTGCCTCTGCCTGCCTCGCTCCGTCTCTTCTGTCTCTCTGAGGATTTTTTTCCCTCCCTCCCCTGTTTTCTGCAGCCCTGGTCTGTGCTAGATCAATGACCTTCACTCATAACCAGACCGGACAGTTCTGGCTCCCTCCCCCGGGCCTTCGATCTGATGTTTGGTTGGAAAGCTGAATGGGGGGGAAAGAGGATCGTGTGCTTGGCAGCCTCATAGCTGTGCTTACCATTTCTGGCCTGGGAGTGGGACTGGAGACTGATGCACTGAGGTCCTCAGCACCTCCTGCTCGCTTGGACAGCAGCTCGTGTCACCTTTTGATGGAGGGTGAAATCCACCAGTGGGGTCTAAGCAGGTTGAAAGGTCTCAAGATGTTCAGGAAAGGGCCTTGATGCCAGAGTTCAAGGAGAGAACACTTAAAAGGCTCTTGAGAGACATGGAATGAGTCAGCTTAAAAATAAAGGTAAGGGCAGCCCAAAGCCCTTCCAGAAGGCAGTGCAGTGCCCAGCAGCTGGTGGTTTTGCTCATGAGAGGGACAAAAGCTGAAGAGGGGTTGTGGCAGTGAGGAGGTTGGCTGAACAGGATCCCTCCCGGAGCGGAACGAGGCCTGGCCACAGAGCCTGTGGTGCAGTGAGGTGCAGGCACACGGCTGTGGATTTGTGGAGCAGCTCAGCTCTGAAGAAGCCCAGGGCTTCAGTGGAGGCTGGCAGTTGCCTGGGTGACTGTCACACTGGAGACCAGCCTGCCCCAAAAACTCAGATGGATACAGGGATGCTCAGTACTGGAGGAGACAGGACTGAGACAGGCCTTTGTGGGTTCAGACCTCGCTTTCCCTGTCACCTGCAGTCGTTTGTTAGAATTTGTGATGTCCTCGTGATGGAACTGCTGCTTATGAAGTTGGCTATCCCTTTCCTAAGGCTTCTGTCTTCACAGCTGAAATTTATGAAGGTTAAATCCTGGTCTAGGGAAGCAAGCACTGGTTTTACTGTAAACTTCAGTGGCATTGGGATTTCAGCCTTGGCTCCTCAGGAGGGGATTAGGATGTTTCCCAATATTTTTTACCCATCAGCTCTGTCAGACCTGCAGACATGACTCATTCATATTTTAGTGCCCCCATGTAAGGGTTGCCTTAATTTTACATGTCTGTCCTGTGAAAATCATTGTCCTCCAAAAAGCTGAGATTTTGCCCTGCTCTTCATAAAGGTTTTAGAGCAGTTTAGATGCTTTCATTTCTCTCCTTTGCCATATACCTGCAATTGCACTGATCTTTAATAGTGTTTATTTGTAGAGAGGAACCCACTGAAATATTGCAAAATAAAACACAGTGATGAGTCGTGGTTTATTTACTCAAGCTTAACTGATGTAACAAACCTGATTTTATGTTAATAATGACTCAGAAGCAGAGTTGGGAGGAGAAGCCAGATCTTCTGAGTCCTTTAACCATCCAACAGTATTCCTTCCTGTCCTTAGATCCAACAGCAGTTCTCTGAGCTGGGATACAGGCAGTACTTCTGTGGCACTGTGATGAAAATCTGGCTGAAAAAAATAATAATTGTGTTTTGTGAGGGGTTCTATTAACACTCAGGAGCCCATTCAGCTCTGGTAGGCACCGCATACACACAGTCTGTCTGTCTGTCTGTCCGTCAGGCAGCTCTCCAGCCAGCAGGGACCATGGCCTGAGGAGTTCCTCAAGGAAAACCAGTTGGAAAGCACTTGGAGCAATCAGTGCTAAGTATGCACATGAGTGTTCGAGGGAAATGCATGTTCAAAATGCAGATCATAGAAA